AAGGTGTAGAGATGATGGATGGATGGAAAACTAAAGTACATCATTTAGAATCTGCTTAAAGCTGAATTTCTGGCTTAATGCAGAACAGTTCTCCCTCGTGTTCATCACGGCCGGAGCATCATGTGACCTTCCAGCTCCTCTCATGTAACAGGACGGGTCACCTTGCAGAAAGCTGGACAGCAGCAGCTCCACTCCAGTCAGGACGGCTGCTACAGTTTTATAGAAGTAACCCACACAGAGCCACGTCGTGCTTCCAGGAACGTACATGTCAGCGTTTCCTCCTGAGCGTGCAGGCCGGGACACGCTGCAGCATCGAGGTACGAGCCCTGTGTGACTGAATAATGGATGGAGTCGGCCACCAGCAGGCTGCAGGGTGAGATCATGGCTGCGTCACTCGGCAGCTGAGGGAGGAGGAGGGAGGAGGAGGGACGAGGGAGGAGGGAGGAGGCGATGCAGCAGACTGAAACCTGCGTGGAGACAGAACAGAAGGATAAGAACCATGTCAGCCTCCTGGAAGCAGCTCCTCTCTCAGGTCCTCCTGCTTCTCGTCTCCTGCAGACACGTCAATACAAGTAAATGAAATTTAATTCTGGCTGTGATGTGTGCTTGTGCTGAAGCTCTGTTCTGCCTCCTCTTTGTTCCTCTCACTAAATGTTCCTGTAACCTTGTGGGGGACAGAAGATCCTCCACCGTTACGTCGTACTTACTGGGTTTCAGATGTCTGCTAGTCGCTGGTTGTTTATTTTTCTGCTTTGAAATTTCTCCCAAAAGTATTTCCCACCCAGAGAAAGTGCAGAATCCTCTCAGAGCCTTTCACTGAACTCTGCATTTATCTAAAGATAAGCAGCTTTCATGTTTAAAGTCAAACAATGTGGGAAAAAAGTCTTCATCAGAGCAGAGGAGAGAAAAACGTGATCTATAAAGTGGTTTTTAAATAACACAGGATGCTCTGAGCTGTGAAGTCATCACCACAGGTTTGAACATCTGATCCTGTCCATGAGGTTTCTCTGTATTTATTCATATTTAGATTTGTATGTTTTAGTTTCTGTGTGTTTGAACCTTTTGGCTTCTGTTTGTATGAGAAGTGCTACGTAAAGATTAGAAACACAAAGTGCACAGAATTACCACCTGATACGGCGCCACAGCTCCCGCCACAAATACCCTGAACAGCCAGAACAGCCCCCCAGCTTTCATCTAAATACCACAACCACGTAGCAACGGCGCCCAGGAGAGGCTTCAGCTGGAGGTTCATCTGTGGGGCAGAGCTGAGGGGGGACCAGGGTGGCCGAGAGCAAAGCCTGGTAGATGCTCACACAACACTGTCCCTACAACTTAGCTGTAATGTCTGAAGTGTCACATCAGCGATGGAAGAAGCACAACCTGGAGCCATTCAGGTGGAGGTCAGATGGGAACGAGCTTCTACACGTGTTGCATCAGCACCTGAAAGTCTGCCGTCGCCCATCAGGACTCACACGAGTGTTGGCTGTTCAATGCCAGCAAGAGCACTGATGTTTACCAACTGATGCACTAGAGCAGCGGTTCTCAAACTGGGGGTCGGGACCCCCATGGGGGACCCAAGATCATTTCAGGGGGTCGCCAGATCGTTGAAAAAAAAAAAGAAATAAAGCCTACATTTATCAATAAACATGTATCAGGGCTGTCAGAATAGAAGTGCATACTTCCTCCCACTCCTTTTTAATATCATGATGTGATTAAGCAATATTATTATTATTATTATTCTTTTTTTGCTCTTTTTAAAATTACTTTCTTTTGTTTTTATATATTTTTTCTCTTTCTTTTGTTCAAAATAAATTCAATTCATTCATTCATTCAAAGCAGAATTAACGTGTTGATGTAAAGCGATGAATCAGTGGAATTACCACGTTCATGTTTTAACGCATTAACACACAAACACCAGAGTTATTACTCATAACATATTAAGAATTCAAATTGTTTTCTTGGGGGCTCAGAGAGTTTGAGAACCGGTGACCTAGAAAGAGCTGCTGGTGAGCAACATCCTGCAGTGTGACATAAACCGCCACTTCCTTTTATTGCATTTGTCTCATGAGTCACTGAAGCCATTAGTCCTGACATTTAAATGACTAAAACTGATTCTGATCTACAACCTTCACCGCAGTTTAAAAACAACACATTATCAGCTCAGACTTTAAAGAAACAACCTGCTGTTTTAATGGAAAACCAGACATACTGCTCCTACAGGCTGGTTCATGACTTTGAATTATGGAAAGTTAAGTTTTCTTTCCTCCAATCACACGTCATGAGTAACTGTGTTTCCAAAGATCTGCCTTTCATGAAATTTTAGACTCATTCTGGTAGAAATCCAGTTGCTTTACCGAGTTAACGTGTTTTTTTATGCTGGAAAACACATCCTGAGCAAAACAAGCATCCAACAATGTGGCTACGCGTGTCCACCTTAAATCTGCAGCGTGCCTGTCCTAAAACCACCGACTGACACTTCTGGGTTTTATCGGCTTGAGGAGCCGCGTGCAGGATGGTGAGACTTCCTGTGTCACTACTGCTCTTCAGAACCGGTTTCTGGACTGAACATGCGTGGCTGAATCACTCCAGATTGTCACTGTGTAGCACAGAGTGGTGTTTTCAGCAGTGCTGGAGGTGAGCTGGTGTGCTGGAGCTGCAGCCAGGTGTGGGCGGAGGAAGAGGCGGGGACTTCACAGACCTGCACGTTTAAGAGGAAGTAATGGATAGAGATTATCTTAATGATAAGACTCCATAAGCAGAGATGAGTTTAACCAAAACAACTTTTAATCACCCTAGCAACCACATAGCAACACCTTAGCAACAACCAAAAACATCCTAGCAACCGTCTCTAAAAGCATAACACCTAAACATCTTTTTTCAGGAGGATGCAGAGGATGTGATGGTGTATTTGTTAACTCTCCGTGTGTTTCTATGTTTGTTTCTTCCCCCGTCAGAGACTCCGAGTCCAACAGCACCAGCGCTGGCTCCTCTGCCAACAAATGTGAGCAGCGTCGTCCTTAAAGGTAGCATCAGTCTCTCAGAGTGTTCCACATGTGACTCCATATTCTGGCTCTTTTTGCTTCTGTCAATATCGCCAAGGATCCAAGTTTACCTGCGTTTTGTGAAACACGGCGTCGTGGCAGAAACAGGCCTCACCTGGTGCTCTGTGTTTCTGAACCTCTCCACGCAGGTAAAAGTCACACCGAGAACATTCAGCTGCTGAACCCTGTCAATCTGACGCTGGTGTGCATCTGGACCGGCCATCAGAACACGGCACCAAACATAACCGGCCACTGGAGGAAGGACGGCGAGGAGATCCAGAGCAGCCGCCGCTCGGTGCAGGTGGACAGTCAGCAGTACAACATGACACGAGTGTGAGTGCTTCACGTGCACGTTGTCGTCTTCAGGAAAGGCCTCAGTGTGGTCTGACATTCAGATCATGCATCTGGACGTCATGATAACAGAAATATTCAACAGCATGAAGGCCTTCTGACGTTCTTCATATAACTGCATGTCTTACTGTTCAGTGTTCACTCTGGAACTTTTATCCTCACGTTTATTCGTCACTAGTCTTCATACAAACATGAATCACGCTGTGTTTCTGTTTTATTTCAGCTCCAGCTGCAGTTCTGATGACAACAACACTTCATTTAATGACGTTTATCCGACTATGAGTATAAACTGTGAGGCATTAAAGCTCTCGTCTAATCTTACAGGTTCAGCATCGACAAGGAAGAAAACCTTGGAAATTACTCGTGTGTGTTTGGAGATGAAGCAAAGATAGATTTCATTCTGGCAGGTACACATCACATCCTTTATATGTTTGTCACTGTCTGCATGACTTTGCTTCGTCTGCACCTCTAAAAATGCCCAGCAGAGGCCTCGTCGGCATCACGACTCGCTCTGTTCCTGCAGCTCCACAGTTTGATGAGGACCGAGACAAGCCGATCATCAGCTACGTGGGAGATTCTGTGGGCCTCACATGTAAAATGGCAAACCCGGACCCCAACACCTGGACCTGGTACAAAGAGAACGGGACGGCTAAAGTGAGAGAGCTGCTCACAGTTTGTCTTCATGTGGTTCTACATCAGATGTGTGTCACAGGTCGCCTTTGGTTGTTCAAGGTTATTCCATCACAGCTACAAACAGAACATCAGTCAGGGTTTGGGCTCTTATCTGGCTCATTTGACCTCTTTACTGTTAAAACTCGGTCCTTTATCGGCGTCACTGGTGTGCGTTTGGTCTCACGGTGTCACAGCATAGCTCCTGTAAACACCTGTGCAGGTACGCGGTGGTGGAAGACGTGTTGAACTCATTTAAGTTAAATCAACAGTAACATACAGTAAAAAAGAAAAGAACAAAAACCTGAAGTACTGCTGGAATTCTTATTTAAAATATAACCTGTGACAGTCACATATCATTTAACATTATTTTATAGGATCATTGACAGAGTTTCACCACAACAAGTAGCAGTGCTAATTTAACTACTTTATTTAAGGATTCAAGGTCTTTATTGGTCACAGACACAGTTATAGATGGTGTAACGTGCAGTGAAATGCTTTGTGCACCTGTTCCACATCGAAACAATAAGAATAAGATGAATAAGAATAAAACACACAAGAAATAAAAATAGACCGAAAGAGATAGAAATGGCAGAAATACATAAATCAAATTTCCAAACAAATAAAGACAATAATAATAAGATGATGTACATGTATATATACAAGGTGAATATATTATATACTATTGGATTATTTTATCACCAGTGATGCAACATAGTTTGGATTATTA